AACGCTATTTCCATAGCTTGATTGCAATTTTGTTGTGATGGTGTCAGTTCTATTCCCAGTAAATACAGTTTAAAGTGAACAAATAAGGAAAAGTGTCAAAATAATTAGAACAGAAAAAAATATACGCAAAGAAAACAATTCGCGCGCAGACAGTTCAAACAGACCAACTGCGATAAAAATCTTTAACCGGCTTTATGCCGGTTCAAAGATCTCGGTATTTAAAAAATCCAAAGTAAAAAATACAATCAAATTTTTTTTTTTACTTTTTCAACTTTCTCCTTTCGCCCAAATAAAATAAACATTTCAGAATTCTTTGTTGTATCCTCTACCAACCCTAACGTTCCATTTATGCAGGTATTTCCAGTGGTTGTCGTCCGGAGCGGCAGCTAAGCATCGTAAAATCAGTACAGACAAATTGAAAAAGTGACCAACGAACCACTCACCACTTCACAGTTTTCAAATTAAAGCCGCCGATAGAAGAGTACGTGTACCAGAATGGCACCAGATTGGGAAGGTAACCACAAACCCAGACAGCATACTCGCAGAATGGTTTCACCATCACCACGCAATGAAGTGAAAAAAATACGAAGTCTAAAGTTTTTTGCCCAAAATAATTGACCTTTAAAAAACTTCTTGCAACTCTCAAATCCCGTATCAATCAAGGCTCTTGATCATTGCTTAAGACGACAGCTCTGAAAGACTTCCCTTTCAGAAAACAGCCATCCCTTGCATTGTATGAATCGCAAGTACCTTCAAACTGAACGATTAGCTAGACAAGTGCAATTCAATTAAAAAACAAGACGTAAACAACTTGTTTCTTTCCTTCAAAAGTACCACCGTTCCTGAATTAGGATTAACTCCTTTAATGTACTGATGCTTTTCTTCACCAAACACCATCTTTTTTTGAAATTTAATCAGTCATATCATTACTTCCCTTGCTATCTTAAAAAGCTCCAACCACCACCTCATTATTACCAATATTCTTCCATAATTTGCGGAAGTAGCACAACGAAAGCCCCTGATAATAGCCTAATTGTACTTCTACTGACACACAGCAGATCAGCAAAAGAGAAAAACTCAACAAAGTATGGTTTACAACGCTCCTGTCAATATACTTACAAACTCAACCACGTCTACCACCTTTCCCCCTCTTTCTCCTCCCCACCCTTTAAAATATATTGCATAGGATTCAAGCATGCCTTCCCAACCTTTTGCTAAATCGTTTTAACAGAAATGGAAGTTGACCTAAAACTGCAACGAGCAGAACTCTAGCTCTTTCAAACAACAACGACGTTGCACAGCTCTAAAGTTGCATTGAAAAACAAATAATGGTAACCTCATAGCCTCTACACCACCCGAAACGGTACTTTGCTTTTATCAGTCATCCAAACCCTCCTACTTTTCCCTAGTAAAGAATAAATACTTCAGCCTCCACAACAATTCCGCAGTGACACCAGCAACGTTTTTATAAGTTACTGTTGGTTTCTTAAAGAATGGCCATTTTTGAACCTCAATCATTTGTTTCCACCAATGAATATCATGCACCTATTCCTATTGAAACGAAGGCGGCACTACCGTCTCCAAAGATTTTTAAAAATTTGTGATACTAAGCGAATCAACTTTGGGCAAACGTTCACCGATTTCACTGCCACTATATATTTAAATCAGTTTGTCAACCAAATCAAGGTAAAACAAAATTAATTTTTTTAACAATGCCAGATTACTCTCTGTGACTGCAAAATAATGTTACTTCAATCACAAATATCAATGACGAGCCACGAAATAGCTAAACGTACTTCTCTGTTAAAATAAATAGCCTTTCTAGATTGAACCATAAGACAGTAAAGCTATAGTACTTCCAAAATTGACACTCTTACATAAGTAGACGATTAGTAACTTAAAATGACAAACCTAATAAATAGAATGCAACATTAAAGGAATACACAACCTTTCAGCGCTATTTACACTGCCTCACTACATATGAAAAAAGATGTAAGCATCTGGTACACTAGGCGATCAAAAAAGAAATCTAAAAACAAATCATAGAAGGAATCTGTGCATTGACAAACTAGTTCAAAGATTACCTAGAAACTCCAATTAGACACGGTTCCAAAAACCAAACTTCACTTTAAAAAATACCCTTAAATCAATATAACAATCAATAAAATAGTAATATATCCACTCCTATAATCAACTGTTGTTTATTGATTCCTCTCAAAAAAACTGATACTTAAGAACCACAAAATCAACTACTTTTAAATAAGTTTTTCAAAGGCACAAACAACAGTTTACAGGCACCTAAAACCAAGGCTTATCTAGAAAAGAAAAATAACCTAAACCGAAAAAGAAAGAGATCGTGCATAAAAACAGTCCTTATGTAAGGCAAAACGAAGAAGCAAATCTATAAGTGCATGTTTAAATCTAACAATATACACAGTACTAGGACTGAAAATCGTACTCTGCACAGTAAAGTGAAATTTCTCTCTACATAAACCAGAAGTCGACATTAAATTATGATATCATAGCATTTTTAGTGTCGATTATGACTTAAAAAACAAAATGAAAAGTGAAACTGTTAAACTATTTAGTGAGGCAGTCAATAGCAGTCTGCAATTCAGATTCTGTTGCTTGAGGACTGGCTAAGCTAGTCAGCAACTCGTACAGTAACTGGTCGCACAAACCTGGACAAGACTTTTCGGCACTTCTCAGAGATTTCTTAACAGCGGTTAGATGATCACCAGCATGTCGAGTATAAGCCAATTTATCAAGCGCAGGTAACAAAGCACATTCTAGAGCTCCCTGTAATTAAACTTTTACAGAACTGGTTCATCTGATCCCTAAGAGCGAGACCTTTACACAAACCGAAACTACTATAATGAAAATAATGCTATCGTTAGGTGTCGAGCAGCAACCAAAGCACAAACCTTCCGTCTAGGTTTGTAATCAACCGTGTCAACCTCTGAAGAAATATTTTTAGAATAAAGCATATAATGACTGTTTGGAATGGCGGCCTGCGATGTAGACGAACGTCCATTAGAGCCATAAGAAGCATTACTACTGACTGCATATCCTGATCGCCCATTATGTATAGAGGTTTGTTGAGACAAAGAACTTATTACAGCCGAAGAAGGACGCTGGATAGAAGAAGTCTAAAAAAAGAGCAACTTTGAAAAAATTCACAATTTTAGTGCACACAAAAACCAAAACTTAAGTTCGACTAATACAGTTCAATTCAATCAACTGTTTACAAAATAAACCGTGTTCTGACCAATCACTTCTTAAAAAACTAGAAACCTACGTACAGGAGAACCTGTTGGAGAAGCAACTGCAATCGTAGTTGCATTACTGTTTGCCGATAGAAAAGCCCCATCTGAAACTCCACTTGATGTCGTCTGTTGATACTGCAAGTTAGGTGTTGGTGCAACATCCGAATTTCTGTTACGTGTAGATAACTGCCTCAACTCATTTGCCGCTTGGGTCACTCGCTAAAAATCTTTTGCATAAATTCGTTCAAAAAAAACTTGCTGAAAATAAAGCAAAACAATTAAACATACTGAGTCATTGTTTCTGTTTACAATTGTTCCATCCGGACTAACATCTGTCTGTCGCGGAATGTTCGCTATTCCTTGAGCTCTATTATTGTTTCTTAGCCTAACTGTATCTTGGTTCAGTGTATCTGTAGCAGTATCATTAGATGTCTGAGCACCTCTTACCGTAAACTGCCATTGGTCATCACTGTAAAAAAAAAAAGTCAGAACTGGAAGCAATAAGAAAAATAAAAGCACTGTAAAAATGCAAAGCTCACCCAGACTGACTTTCAACGTCATCCTCCTGATCCGAATCGCTACTGGGACTGATAGTATTTTTAAATGCTGCACTTCTTTCAATTAACTCAATGAGGATCGAATTCTTTTTGGCTCGACGAATAAACTGATGCCTCAAAAGTTCTTTTGCCGATGGCCTCTGAAATAACATACCTACTGCATGTAATTAAAAAATCAATAATCATAAATGACTCGACACAAAAACCCCACATTTTCTGGTTCTTTGTTCAGACACAATTCCACAAACTCCTTGAAAGACTTCGACCACTGATTCCCAATAAGCTGCGGAGGAGGATTCTTAGGAATAAGAAACAGAACCCGCATAGGATGCAGCTCAGCGTGGGGCGGTTCACCATTTGCAAGTTCTATCGCAGTGATTCCAAGGCTCCATATGTCAGCCTAAAAGATTGGAACCTAAAATTAGTTTTGCAAACAGCCAGTGATTTCGAAAAACATCTACAACAAAAAGCTTCAAAAAATCTAAAAAAGACGAAAAATGCGAGCAATCAGAAAAGGCATAAAACAAGCCTCTATACAGTGGGAAAGTTGAAAGCATGAGAAAATCGATAGCGCAAATAAGCGATGACGATGACAAAGTGCAACAAAGTTCACCTTGAAATCATAAGAAGCCTGTCTTATTACTTCAGGAGCCATCCAAAATGGAGTGCCAACAAACGTTATCCTTTTCTTAATCGTCTCTGTCAACTGACCAGCAACACCAAAATCGGCGACTTTAACATCACCATGCTCAGAAAGCAAAACATTTGCAGCTGTAATAGTTGAGAAACTGTCAAATTGAAAAACACTTAACATATCCCCCCATCTAAATTTAAAAAGGCAAAAACAAAGCTTTATGCAACACCGGTTAAGAAATATAGTGAATAGGCTTGAAAAAAGGCAGCAACTCAAAAGAAAAGTCTGTTGCCTTACTAATCAGGAAAGAAAAGCTTCACACAGTGACAGCAAGACGCTAAACAAGCACAACATCACACAGTAACCTTAACAAAGTTCCCACTATCTTTGAAATATGCTACCAGCAATACATTCCGTGACAACGTACAGTAAATCCATCGATTATCCCAGGGCTATATGAGCAATGAGTAAAAGAAAGTAGAAGACTATTTGTGACGACCTTGTAGCCGAAAAATAAATATATGCGGCATTATATTTCAAAAAGCAAATAGACAGTTAGGCAAAATAGCTACTGTTAATCAGAAACAGCCTCGTTACATGCACCTCCGGTCACTATGATAGAAATAATAAAACAGTGTCAACCACTTTAAAAACACCGACCACACGACGTTCAAGTGCCAAGTGAAAGTTACTTTTGAGCGTGTTAGTTTAAAAATAAGACGCGCAAAGCATAAACCTTTGCATCATATCTGTCTTGCCCAATGACTTCTGGTGCCATCCAATATGGTGTTCCAACAAAAGACCTCGCACGTCGATTAATTGTCAATTGCGTTGCAACTCCAAAATCAGCGATTTTGACGTCACCGGTTTGTTGATCGAGAAGGACGTTGGCAGCTGTACAATAAAATGTAACAAAAATGATAATCATGCACAGTTAAATCCCATCATCATGCAAAGAGTAACAAAACCTAGCTCTTCAGAGGGTTCCCATGCAGTATTTGTTCGTGCGTAACGGTAACTTCAGAATAATATGAATAACAATTATGAATGTACAATCTGCTTTCGTGAGCGTTAATTTAAGAAGCTATCATATCTACCACAAAAATTTTAACAATTGCTTATTCCTTTCAGTTATCAAAAATCCTTCCCCTCCGCCGAGAAACTGTTAACCTCATAATTGAACCATACAAATTAAAAAGTAAAAAAGTTTAAACAGAACAAGCCTAAAAGATCATGCTACACAGCTCGTTACTGTTTCATCATACCTTTGATATCACGATGTATTTTTCTTTCCGAGTGTAAGTACTCAAGACCCTTCAAAATTTCTCTGAGTATGACAGCTATATGACTTTCTTCCAGTCTACCGCTCTTCGTCAAATCTAGTGCAGAACCACCTCCGAGATACTCCATGATTATCCACAGTTTAGACCCCTAGAGACATAAAATAAAATAGTATTTTAAGCACAGCGCATGACTAAATAGTTGCAAAACATGCAAAAAACTATCCAGTAGTCATTATCTGTTGTCGAAAAAGACTACTTTCCATAACAGACGACAATTATCAATGAGAAAAGATAAACTTTAAACGTCGCAGACAATTAACATGAAGATATTATTTCCAGAACTTGAATAAACGCTGACTTTCAGATAAACTCATGAATGCGCCATAACACTAACTTTCAAATAAGATCCGAAATATTTCGTCACGTATTGCGAATCGCACTGACTGAGGACCATAATTTCTTGCTGAATGTCTTCAATTTCATCCTCAGCTTGTTCCAAATCAATAATCTTGATGGCTACCGTCTAAAATGCGAAATTGGGCATCGAATAATAAATAGGCAGCACAAAATTCCAATCTGATTAAAAACTGTCGGTGTGAAACCCACTAAGAAAAGCAGTGCCATTACCTGTCCATTTCTGCGATCGATACCTTTAAAAACCTCTCCAAACGACCCCCGCCCTATCCGCTCTTGTCGAGTAAAAATTTGTTCTGGATCAACTTTCTAAATGAAAAATAATCAGCAAAAGAAAAAGCATCAAGTAATATTAAAATATTGAAGTGCCTTTCCCTAAAAAGAAAGAGAACTTACTAATTTTAATTGAAAATTAGTTCAGCTGTGCCTGCTCAAAAAGAAATGATTTGAAGTTTAGTTTAAAACACCTTAACAGTTACATCCGCTAGCCTTCTATCTCATGCGTTACCTCCCTTCAGCGACCGAACACCTTTCAGATACAAAACAAATAAAACAATACAATTCGTTAACTGGATTGCAGTATAAAAGGTAATTTTAAAGCTCATTTTCGTCCCTCAAACTTCGTTAGAATCATAAAAAAATTTGAACTTTCAAAATGAGCAAAAAAAAAAAAGGATTTTAAAGTGAGTCTCTCACGCAAAAACGCAATTACAGAAAGTAAGGACAAAGATAACTCTTGAGGTGCCTTCAGACATGTGTATATTGACAAGCAGTTTTGCAGAATCTGATCATTTTTCGAATAGAAGTCTGTAAGAGAACAGAAATATAATATTAAAAACGTCATTACTTAAATACTCATGAAGACAAATAATATGATCATGACAAAAAAACAAAAAAAATTATAAGTTTTCCAGACATCAGATCTTCCTTCCCATATCGATCAGACAAGTCACGGAAATTTCCAGCTATAAACATGTGAAAGTTACATCTGTACCTTTCCAGAGTAGTCTTCTTCGTATGCAAAAGCCACAGAAGACGTATCAGAGACGTTTGTATCAGTTTCAACGGACAGAGACCTCTGCCGGCTAGGATTTTCCATATTAAACAATCGCAATCCCGCAAAGTGGGAGTTTAAACGATCATTAAAAATATTCCGATTACCCATTAGGCGGTATCTATTACGAAACTCCTCATCGATATTGTCTTCAGGTAATGAAGTAAACTGTTTTCCAACTGATCGGCCCACCGAATAATCGGGGCGAGGTTCAGTAATCGGAACAACCGTTTCATGCGACATAATTGCTGCCGTGGATTACAAATAAAACTACTGTTGAGCTACTGAAAAAGTATCTTAACCTACAAAAGGTGACGACCAACGCAACTCACTAATACATACAACCACCTAGAAGTCAAAAGTAATGCCTTCAAAAAAATACATTTGCTACCGTTCAGACTGCGCAAGACAAATAAAATCTAAATAAAATAAATCTGCACTTGGAAAAAACAGAAGGCTTAAGCAACAGAACCATTCCTGAATAAAAAAAAATCATCTTTTACGGACCATTAATCTGGTTACAATGAGATATTTTCTTGACTTTTGGCGTAAAGAATCTTTTGAAAACAAGCTTATAAATCAAGTAAGTTTCAAATTAAAAATGCGAGATTTTTGGTAATACGCCTTGATTCCCTAAATAGTTTCGGATTTAAACCGTGACTTGCTGAACTGGAATAATCTGTTATGCAGATCACTCACAAATTCCTCCAGAAAATTAATATTCCATATAAAACCATGTGTGCCTGCTTGTAACAGCAAAGCATTTAAAGGCTTCAAAAACATATAAAATCCTTCGTTCTGAACCGATTTTTGAACAACAGATTCCCCTACTCTGCGAAATTGTAAACTAAGGT